GAGTCCAAGTATAAGATAAGGAGGGCGGATAGAAATGCAACTGAGGAGACAGGTTTAACTTTAACAAGAGTGGCTATGGGCCAGACTTGATGGCAGACACCTGTAATCCCAGCAATCCAGGAGGTTGAGACCAGAGGATAAAAAATTTAGCACCTCAGTGAGACTGTCTCAAGTAAAAAGCAAGTGGGGCTGGGGATGTGGCTCAGTGGTATGCCTTGGGTTCTATCCCCAGAACTAAAAAAAAATAAAAAAAAGTGCTGGCAGTGTAGCTCCGTGTGAAAGCTCTAGGTTCAATCCCCAGCACCATAAAAGCAAATAAATAGTGACTATACAGCACTATTTATATAGGTAGATTAAGGACAGACAAGATTTTCAAATTTTCAAAGATAAGCCAGAGGCTTTATTCTAAGAGACTGGTAAGGTGATGATTTCCCATTGCTAAATATAGGTGTTTGCAAATGTTGATTAGGGTGAAAAATTCAGGTTGATGGTGATACAGGGGAAAGAAAAAAAATTGAGGTTGATGGTGATACAGGGGAAAGAAAAAAAATTGAGGTTGATGGTGATACAGGGGAAAGAAACTCCCAACCTGAAAGATATCTAGGAGGAGTTTGTGTTCTCTAAAATCGAAGAATGACTTTTTTGGAATAACGGAATTTAAGAGCAGAATATATTCATGAGAGAAACAAAGCTTCTGTGCAAGAAAGGGACAGAAGGGAACCCGAGTGAGCTGCTAAGGACCTTGCCTTTCCTGAGATTTTGATAGAGTAAAACCAGGAAGTGAGATGCCCAAGCTGGGGGAAAATTGGGAAATCACAAGGTGGGCATGAGTGGGTCAAAGCTATGGTCAGGGGGTTGGGGATTTAGCTCAGCGGCGCAGAGCCTGCCTGGCGAGTGTAAGGTTGTGAGTTCAATTCCCGGTACCGGAAAAAAAAAAAAAAAACTATGGTCAGCCAGTAAGATTACAGGTATTATTGTTCAGGTAAAATTGATTAAATTGGGATTAAATGGGGAAGCGAGTCTCATAGCAATCAGGCATGAATACAGAATATCAATCCCTGATGTCCATCCCTAAGGAGGTATGTGGGTGCATTTGTTTAATCTTTTGTCTTGAGATGTGGCCCACAGCAGAAGTGCCTGTCTCCATTTGCAAGGTAGCAAGGTATCCCCATGTTCTGCACTGGCTCCTTCGAGGGCCTGGCCCTGTCTGACTGCGTATAATATTTCTGTCTAACTCAGCTGGCTATAACAGTGGTAGCATACCAACAAATAACAAATACACAATCAAAGGTAATGTAACAAATGTGGAAGATAAATGAAAAGACAAGGACAGGATGTTTGAAAATTATGCTATTTGCCTTTGATTGTGTTGTGAGCAATTTGGAATAGATTGATAATTTATCAAAACCTTATAATACTAAGACTTTCCCACCGAGCACATGATGGATTTCTCCATTTTCTCAAGTATTTCTTTTTTATGCCTTTCAGTAAAATTGTTATAGGCAGCTGAGGTAGACAGAAATATTATAGGCAGTCAGACAGGGCCAGGCCCTCAAAGGAGCCAATATGGAAGACAAGATACCTTGCAAATGGAGATATGATACTTGCTGTGGGCCAGACCTCAAAACAAAAGATTGAACGAACACACCCACATACCTCCCTAGGGATGGACATCAGGGATTGATATTCTAAATAGGTAGCAGTCACCTTGAAGAGTTCCTGACCCAACCCCTTATGGGAAAAGCCCCTGTTCTGTATTCAGGCCCGCTTTCTGTGTGACTCACTTCCCCATTTGATCCCGATTTAATCAGTGTTACCTGAACAATTCTTATTGGCTGACCATAGTTTCGTCCCACCTCATGCCCACCTTGTGATTTCCCATTTTTCCCCACCTTGGACTCACCTCATCTCATGGTTTTGCTCTATCAAAATCCTTGGGAAAGGCAGGCTCCCTGGGCAACCTACCGGGTCCCCTTCTGCCCCTTTCTTGGATGGAAGCTCTTTCCCTCAATAAATACGTTCTGCTCTTAATTTCTGTTGTTCCTAAAGTCCATTCTTTGATTTTGGAGAACACAAACTCATCCCATGTATCTCTCAGTTTGGGAGTTTCTTTCCGCTATATCAAAATTGCATGATACAGCCATCTTCCTCTAGACTGCTAGTGTTTCATTTTTGGGGATATATGTAAGTATGGTTTGTTTTGTTTTGTTTGAGTTGTTACGGCTGAATTGTGACAGTGTCCCCAACATATATTGAAATTCTCTCAGAATCTCAGAATTTGACTGAATTTGGAGGTGGGACCTTCACAAGTTGATCAAGGTAAATGAGACATTAAGGTGAACGCGGATCCAGTCTGACTGCTGTCCTTATGAGAAGGGCCTGAGGACCGCCTAGGAGAGATACACACAGAGATGCTTCACATAGCAGAGGCTGTGTGAGAGTGCATTGGGAAGGCAGGCTTCTGCAGGCCCCGGAGAGAGGCTGTGGAAGAAGGTACCCTGCCTGCACCTAGATCCCGCACTTCTGGCCTCCAGAGTCATGAGAAAATACTTTTCCGTTTAAGCCTCCCACTCCGTGGTATTTTGTTGTGGTATTTTGTATTTTGT